CCACCTTCCGATTTCTCAGATTATGAGAGCTGCTTCAGTTTTCTGGTGGGCTCTTTTCTTCATGTAATCTTCCTTTGAAGAAGGAGAAATGCACACAATTCATCTCAAACATTGGGAGATTTTGTGCATGAATGCACAAAGAAACAAGAGAAATATAGGTAGGTCCCATGGAAGCTAAGAAAGAGTAAACAACTGGACCTCATCCTGTCTTGCTTGTTTTCAGTAGATCTTGGTAGACACCTATTCTAACCATGACCATAACAAGTGTGCTTTCTCTTCTCTGATTTTCTGACTCCTTACACTTAGGTTATTGCTATCCACTGCCAACGGTTTGTAGATGAAGAGAGGTAAATCGATAGATAGTGCTAGTTCCAGCTCCTTACGAGGAAACCTGATTGATGGCCAACTACCATTATCTCTGCATGGGTGGCAGATTGACTTTGAGTTCATTGTGCTCTCCTAGCTTGATGTCTGCAGCCACAGGGGCAGGTGATTATGATACATCTACAGCCATCTACTAGATGCAACCAGCTAGCCTGCTTCCTCAGCTCTGCTGTCAGGTCTGGGAAGGAGCTGTGGAAGAAGCAGGCACCACAATGGGACTGTCCTGGCTATTCCTTCAGCTACATTTGTCATTCCAAATCTCATGGTAACCATCTCCTGCATTCACTGCCTATACTAGGCCATAGCACATTTAGGTCAAAGGTGGCGCTGTCTTGCCCTCACTCTGATTTTGCCCTCTTCACCTCTTCCCATCCATATCTCAGCACTAAGGGTACAGTGCAGAGGCCTTGCTGACGTCTAATAAGCATGGGCTAATGAATCAAAAAAACCCATGACCACCTGCTCCCTGGGTCTTAAGGGAAAATACAGAGCTTGAGCTGAATACATGGTCATTCCCTTTCCTATTAATTTCTCGAGCTCGTCCGTGGATTGTGCTGTCTGCTCCACTGGGGTGACACAAACATGACAGATGGCACTCTCATGGACAAGGAGTTTATTCTGCTACACAATAAGGGCTATATGTTTTGCTATAAAACTCTTATAAATCATTCTTGTACATTTGGGGCAGAAATATTGTGACACAAGCAAGATAAATGCTGCTCCATACATGCAAACAGCTGAAATTTGTAGCCCATAAGAGTATAGAGTCATCTGTATCACTGAACCATAAATACATACTTCATTTTGAGATTTTGATGTAAATACACAGCATGAATGAACAAAGGTTTTCTGGCTTTCTATAAAATAAAGGATTTTTTTATCTGATGGAGGAATAAATTTTAATAACCAGCAAATGGAAGAATTTTAAAACTGTATGTGTCAAAATCATTTTAAAATTTTAAATTTAAACTGCTCTGATAATCTAAGGAAGATGATTATAATTATTAAAGGACTAAACATGCATTTATGGATTTATCAATAAATGGATATGTTAAAAGAAAGCTCTTAAGCTGAATAAAGAGATAACGAGGGTAAAAATGTTAGCATTAGAATCCCTTCCAACCCATGTTAGAAAAGAAAAAAGTGAATATAGGTACAGACAAAATCAAGACTGTAATTTTCTCCTTACAACACTGAAAATGCAATGTCAGTCTTCAGCAAACTAGTCACATGGAAATCTCATATCTTTGTATAGTAGAGGAAGAATTATAACTTATTTTTCAATTTGTTTTACTTTTTTATTGAAAACTATACATATTCATCATAGAACATATATATATATATCAAAAGAAAGGTAAAAGACCATTTATAATCATCTATAGTCTAGAAATATATTATAATCATAAATTTTTAAAAAATTGAGTGACATACCATGAAGATCATTCAATGAAATCATAATACGTCTATAATATTTTAAAGATCAATAACAAAATCAAAGATAATTTCAAGCTGAAATAAACTCTGGGTCATTTAGTCTGACCTTTATACCAATGCTTTAATAATCTTTTAGTTAGATGATTGTAAGCTCTTTTCTTGACCATTTCAGTGACTTACATCAAAATCTCCACATCATCAATTTGCCAGGAAATTCTTTCAAATGCTGAAAGCTTTAATTGCCAGAAGTTCCACTTCCAATTCTAAAAATAGTCCCTCTATCCTGACTTTTGTCCACCTCTTCTATCTTCTCCCTGGAACAGTACTGGGCTTAGATTCCGTTTCAAGTTCTTCCCATTCTCTATCACCATCACCACAACCATGACTAAATCAGGTGACTTTACTAAACAAACTTTCTTCATCTGTAAAATTAGCCCAATAATATTTATCTTATATTCCAGAGGGTTGTTGAAAAAGTCAAGTAAGAAAACATTTATGAAAATGCCAATACATTTGAAGCATGATATGGATGGTAAACGTATTTCCTCTTTCACTTGTCATATTTGAAAAAGGGGTTATCATCTTCACCCAAATCTCATCTCCAAGACAAGATGCCCGCATCTTTTATACATTGTAGTATCCAGAATTACTGTCCTAGCGACTCCTCTGGCTATGTGCCAATTTGTGAATGTCTCTTGTAAAAAGTGCCACACTGGACTAAGCAAGATGGTCCTGATGTGACTAAATGAGTGGAAAATAAAATGCGATTGTTCTGCCATGGCTCTGCATGGCAGTCTACTGTGCATGCTGAAATGCAGGAGTTTTTATGATCACCAAGGTCTATGTCGTTTATAAAGGGCATATTGAACTAGGGCATTTGAGAAATGTCTTTGGAAAAAGTCTGTTTAAAAGTAGCAAAATAATTAAAAGAATAAATGTAGAAGAATAAATAGCGATGATTTATTTTTCCCTAACCATACAACTGATTGGTTAAAAGAGATGCCCCTTAAATCATCTAGTTTTGCTCTTCATTAACTGAAGGAAAAGGGGCTTGAATTATTACCTAAAATGAAGTTGAAGATATAACTGGGACTTTACATTATCCATGATTTGACTTACACTGTCTTTCCAGTGATAGGAAGGGCTATAATGAGCCCTGAAAATAACTAGCAGAAATTATAATGACCTGCTTGTTTTTAATCAGTCACTGTTTTTCTTTTTTCTAGAAAGACAATTCTAAGGCAAATTATTGGTACCTTATCTGAAAATACCACGACCTGTCCTTAAATAATGTGTAAAATGATTATTTACCAAGTTGGAGAGATGATTTCATGAATTGTTAGCTTGTCTGTGCAAAGGCAGGCAGGAATCAGAATGTGCTGTGTTAACTCTTCACCTCCCTTGAGTTGCATAGTTTGTTTGAAACAAGTAGGATGGTCATCCAGTCTGTCGGCTCTTGTTGTCCCCTACCTTCAGCAAGTCACTTTATCATTATCTGACTCTGTTTCTCTATGTAGAAAATCTGGAAAATCTTACCTGTAACTCCTTTCTTTGTAAGACCAAAGAAATGCACTCTACATGTTCAAAGATTTATGACAGTATTTTTAGTTTTTTTAACTGCCTACCTAAAAAAAGGGAATGGACTGGAGTTGTTAAAGTAATGAGGATATGCCATTTGAGGTTGGACTGTGGTTAGCAGGAAACAACAGCCAAATGTGGTTTTGTTTTGTATTTCCTTTGTCAATTTCAGCTGATTTCAGGTTGGCCCATTCTGAAAATAAGGCTGCATTTCAGAATTCCTGGAATGTGCCCAAGTAAGAAAAGAAAGCAGGTAGTCTCTTTGGTTATAATAAATTTCAAGAACTAATTATTCTTTCCTGTGATTTTGCAACACTATGTGCTACGAGTTGGGTTGGAACCGGAATTTGAAATACCAAATAGTATACAACAGGGATAACACTGGGGAAAAATTTTTCAAGTCAAAAATCAAAACAGAGCTCAGTGATTTCAGAAGCAATGGCTTCTTGTCAAGAATAACTGTCATTAAAATTTCCATAAGCACCAGTGAAATTGATTTTGGGGAGAAAGCTATGGGAGGGCCTGCTTTATAAAACACAGTGAAATTTCATTTTATTCCGAATTTCCCCAGCCAAGTTTGCAAGATCTCAAGATTTTTCTTGGGCCCTTTCCCCACGGAGAGGCCAAAGGTTTATCTCCCTTGACATATACAGATTAAAAATTTTCACCTAGAAAGGTTCAGCAGCGTCTGAACAGTCTTCTTTGGCTAGCGAGCCACACTAAGAAAGTCTCAGTCCTGAGATGATCAGTGGATTGAAAGAGCAAAAAATAATAAAAAGAAGAAGCATGCAGTTGTCACAGGCTTCTGATATAACACCCCGAGCCCACTGAGCAGGAGAATTGGTCTGGCGTCATTGTTTTGTGCTCTCTGGATACTGAGGAGTCTGATTTGCATTAGATACCTCTGCATTCAATAAACAAAAATAGGGATAATAATGAGCAAAGCACTCTTTGGAACCGAAAACAAACTCGAGCAATAAGTGTTTTGCACTGAATTCATTCAAGATTTTATTAGCTAAGCTCTCACTTGGGTTATTAGGCTCAGCTTGCTTTTAATTTCACTGGTCTCAGTGATCCAAAACAAAAGGAGCCTGGGGTGTGTGAGTGTGTGCGTGCGTGTGCGAGCATGTGTGTGTGTGTGTGGTGTGTGTGTGAATGTCAGACACATCACACACAGGCTTTCTACATTCTTCACATTGCAAACCCATCAACAAAAGGAGGAAGAAGATCTGAAGGGAGCGAGTGGTTTTTGCGGGTTTAGGGGATGGCGAATTTCTCTACATAAACAAGAAGGTTTGCATTGGAAGTCTGCTAAAAAAAAAAAATGCTCAGAGCTGCCCACGAGGTTGTAAATCCACAGACTGGAGGGAGGGAGGGAGGGAAAGAGAAACACAGCGAGCGACTGCAGTGTGTGTGGCTGCAATGTTTGTGGGTTAGATGAGAAACAAGCGCTGAGTGAAACGGAGAGGGGGGGCGGGTGGGTGGTGGCGGCTGGTGTGATTTGTTTGGTGTTCGGAGCCAATAGAAATCCCAGACGGTGATAATATCCCCATGCAGCGCCGGGAGGAGGCAGAGCTCAGACTCGGGCTCCGCGCGTCTGCAGGCAGCCAGCCGGGCCCCGCGCCGGGCGCTCCCCCGGCCCTGCGCCCGCCCGCGCGCTCCCGCATGGGCGTCTGCTCGCCCTGCACGCGGCCGCGGCGCCACCCCGAACTCAGACCGGGGCCTGGACTATCGGGCTGGGAGCAGAGCGAGGTCTAGGAAGCGACCAGCGACCCGCGGAGGAGGAGGAGGAGGAGGCTTCCATCACGTCATTGCAGGTACGCAGCTTGTCACCCACGACTCACCCACCGGGCACAGGCACCGTGGTTTCTCGTTTGCACCTTCGCGCGCACTTACGCGTGCATTGACAATTGTGTGTGCCGCGGCTGGCTGGCCGGGATAGAAAGCAAGCCCTGGTGGGACTGTCTTGCCTGGTTCACCTCCGATGATTAAAGCTGCTAGCCTGTGTTTTGGAGCCACGAGGTTTATGCACCTATTGAATTGTGCATGGGCGTAAAAAAAAACAAAAAAAAACAAAAAAAAAAACGAGGACCTTCGAACTTGACCGTGATGTCTCTCTCTGTCTCTGTCTCTGTCTTTCTCAACATCAATACCTGCATGTTGTCATGCAGCCTATAAACACCTCGTGCTGATCTCCATTATAAGTAGGACCTATGGCAAGTCCAGTATCATCTGATTGTTAGAAAGCAGCCTCTGAACACTTCCCACCTGCCTGTTAGGTTAATATCTTCCTTACAGGAAAAAGAACCACAGTGGACTTGGGCATGGTTTTGATTTTTAAAGCACACGGCCAAGGTGGATTAACCTCAGGAGCGAAATATCACCGTATTGCTATGCTATTTGTTGGTGGAGAAAAGAGAGAAGGGAGATAGATATTTTAAAATGTGATTGCCGATGATCCTTCCTGTGTACCTGATTTATCTCTACATTGTCTTAAGAGTTTTAAAATGCATTTGTGTTGTGCACCCCAGGCAGGATGAGCTCCAGGATCTCACGTATTACTGCATTAAAAAGTCAGGAATTGGAACTATATAGTAAATATGATACTCGCAAGTAAATAGCAAGTTTTGCTTTGATTTTATTTGACCTCAAAATGGGTAGATGTCTGCCTAGTTTTCTTTTCCTTTCCTTAGTCCTCTCATTTTGAGGTGCAGGTTTTGTTTTAAAAAAATCTATTTCCCTGGGATTTTTATCATGTTTGATTTGGAATTTTGAAGACGGTTATATAACTTTTACCCCCTGTTGATTACCTGTGATTACATTAACATTGCTTAATTGAGTTCAGTCTTTCTCCAGAAAAGCCAGAGGGACTGCATGAAAGGCGTAGTTCAAAGATTGGTCTTGATTGGGGCAGTCCGTAAGTGCTGGTACTCAAGCACCCTGAACCCCTATAAAAAGCACCTTTTCTGCAGTGGAGAACAAACACACACTGGGACAGCAGTTCAGCAGGAGAATGGCACTGCAGCAGGTGCAGGAACAATCAAATGTCACCTTCAATCTCAATAGCACTCTTCTCAGTGGATTCTTAGTAGATCATATCCAAACCATCCACTGATAATCCACAGTCAACTCACCATTCAGTACTACCTGGTTATCAGGGTACTCCTTGTCCGGAGACGTTTCTGACCAAGAAAGATGAGGAAGTTATAAGAAAGATATTTATTGTGTATATCGCAATGGAGAATTTATATTGACCTTTTTCTTTTTTCCATCAGATGAACATGTTCATTCTGTCATTAAGGGGAATGCATGCTTAGCTCTACCATGGAGTTACGAAAACTACATATTTTGCCCATTGACTGATCTGACATTGTGTCTAAGAGTAGACATGTCAAGTGAATATTATATTTAGGAGAGAGCATTTTGATTTTTATAGATGAATATTTTTCTCCTTTTACGTCACAAAGGAAACCGATCATAAAGAATTTACCTATTCAAATAAATACCAATTAATTGATCCAATTAAATTCTATTAGTGGGTAAAAGTGTGGTTTTGCATGATTATGAGCATTTGTCAATCTTCTGTAAATGTAGTAGCTGCAATAAATTGAGACCCATTTCCCTCTTACCATTCAATCTCTAAAGCAATGTTTGAGGATGTGTTGGTAGCGAGTGAATGAGTATATAAGACTAAATTCATTCACTTTGTATAGACTGGGAGACACTGGTGGCTTGTCAAATATACGTATAAATAAATGCTTTGATTATTCATTGTTTTATGCTATCATTCTTCATTGAGAGGTAATCAAATGTTCACTCTCTATACATCTTAGTAGAGCCAACCAGAACTTTAGCTAACCCTCAAGTTATAAGTTTGGTAAAGTTTAAACAAGAGACATGCCTTTAAATCTCTTTAAGTAAACACTTCTTCCTTAGCCTTCTTCTTCTAATGCAAAGGAATGGTATTAGACTCTGAGTTCTTATTGCTAGGGAGAGGATTGGCTTGCCTGGGTCAAGGACAAACGTTGACACACTGTTGAGGCACAAGCACACAGCAGATTAGGCCAGACACGTTTTTATTCTAGTGTTGCTACAGCAATTGCTCCACATTGTAGACATGTTCTCACTATCAGGGTCCTTTAAGTATTTAGGAGAAAAATAATAAATTATTTCAACCAGGGAAAACATGCCCAGTCTTGGGTTTAAGACAAGTCACACGGGAAAATAACAAACAAAACAAATTGTTTTGAAGGGGACGGTGTGCAATTATAAATGAGGCCTATGTTGCCATCTACTTCTTTGATTAGCTGCTTCTCTTCCTGCCACGTAGTCCTTTTGTTTCTGTAAATTATACGTGCTGGCCAAATAATGTGTAGAATTCATTTTGATCACACATAAGACTAAAATACACTCCTCAGACTCAACATTGACCAATGACTTCAGCAGATTTCACATTGCCATCACTTCTAGTTGGGAAGATGTCTTTGAATGGAGAGCCCGGGGACAGGACCCGGCGCGTGGTGGAGCACTGATTTGCAGAACAGAGCCCTGGTGCCCCCTGGAAGCTCAGAGGCTGCAGAGCGAGAGGGTAGAAGCAACAGGGGTTTGAAATAAGATGGTATAAAGGTTGACGTCCTTAAATGTAAATCCAGGAGCCAAAGGCATGAATTTATGTCCTCAAATTAACTTCAAGTGTAAACTTCTGATGAGACGTCCTGAATATTTTAGACGAACACTCATGTGTTTGTAGGTACATCACACACAGGTGTGGGATTACATTACATGGATTTGATGTACCGTGGCAGTCCTGTGCACACAGGCCAGGAGAGGGCAGCATGCAAACTCTGAAAAAGTGATGCCTCCTCTTGACCATAAGGAAGACTTCCAAATGGCAAAAAAAAAAAAAAGTCCTTTCAACTTTACGTACCCTCCTCTCTTTAGAAGGCAGAGTCGAGAGTTTTAATTAAAGATACCCCGTCCAGCAGGATTTATTTCTGTTTTTGCTTCCAGAGTTGATGCTGCCTGGCAAAACTGGAAAAGTAGCAGCATTTTAAACAGCAAACTAAATTTCCCTTTCTTTTAATTAGCTTCACTCTGTGAACCTATGCAAGCAGTCTGCATGTTAACTCTGCTGGGATAGAGGTGAGAGAAAGGGAAACAGAATACAAGGAAAAGAGGCAAATAGAGAACGAGGTTCCTTGCGTTGGTTGTCCAGGAGACATATTTATGAGCTGCTTTATCAGTAGATCCAGCCTGTATTGTAAGCATGTCTCAAATGCAAGTTCAGGGCCACAAGGATCCATTTTGTACACTGATAATCAATTGCACCTCCAGAATTCTAGCAAATTTGGTTTCAAAACAGAAGAGCTGGAATAGCTTCACTTAGTGATATCTGGAGTCTAAGATGTGCTAAAAAAATAAGAATTACGCATCTACCTCTTAGAAGCTCAGAGATGGTTAACCCTAGCCCGTCCTATGTGCAGCCTTCTTAACACTCATGGTTAATAGGCTGTGGTTGCTCTCGAGAGAGGAGAAGGTGAAAGGATGTTGGGCTTGGGGTGAATGTGTTGAGGTGAGGGACACCAAGATATCTGTGTCAAGAAAGAAGGATTCTGAGGCGTAGGGGGTGGTGGATTTTAAGAGGCTCAGGAGGCTGCTCACCCCAGGCTCAGCAGCCTGTGTCCATGCATGAGGCCTTGAAAGATCTGATCTCGACTTCTCGCTGGTGCTACTGTGTTCAGCTGGGAGGTGAGCTCTCCTTGAATCAAAGCAAAGCGTTTTTTTCAAGGACAAAGTTAAAATTCCTTGGTGTCTGGGAAGAAAATAAAAAGGGAGGTCACTGCATGTCTCCCTCCTTTTCAGCCAGATTAGCTTCTAGTGCCCTCCCAGCTACTGTCTAGAACTACGCCGTGCTCCCATGCTGGGAAAGCTTGGATGGATGTGAGAGATTCATCCAGGGCCACCATGGAACCAAACACAATGCCATGGTAGTAGGGTATTAACAAATGAGAGAAAGAGGTCCTAGAGGCTGGTGGGGGTTGGGGGTGGAAATTGTAAAATGTATCAACTAAAGTCTAAGACCCAGAGTCTCCATTCCTATTTTGTAGGGTTTTTTGTTGTTGTTATCATTGTTTGCTTTATGGTTTTGGTTTTTTTTAGGGATAGGGTCTCACACTGTCACCCAGGCTAGAGTGCAGTAGCATCGTCATCATAGCTCACTGTAGCTTCGAACTCCTGGGCTCAAGTGATCCTCTTGCCTTAGCCTCCTTAGGGGCTAGGACTATAGGCACACACCACCACAGCTGGCCAAAATTTTAATTTTTTTTGTAGAGCTAGGGTCTCACAATGTTGCCCAGGCTGGTCTTGAACTTCTGACCTCAAGCAATCCTCCCCCCTTGGCCTCCCAAAATGCTGGGATTACAGGTGCGAGCCACCATGCCTGGCCTATTTTGCAGTTTTTAATGAAACACTTCCCAACTCTTTTCAGATAGAGAAACTCCAGGTTCCATCTTCCTTTTCTAGTTTACTTTCCAATTAAAAAAATAAAAGTCTAATGACTGAAGGGAAAAATCTCTTTGAAGATACTTACTTCGTTGAGATGTAAAACATGGTCAGATTATGGTATTCTGGCTGATACAGGGGGGTATGTTTCATTAAGAAACCATGTCTGAGTTATGAATGCAAGGGATTTAAAAACAAAGGAAATACATGGCTCATAGAAAAGTTATCCTGATGGAGAGTTTTCAGAGGACGTGAGGCCAAGAACACAAATATTCCCAAACATGACTTTCGTGTTGTGTTATGGTATAGTAGCAGT